AAACCAGTACTGATAAAAATGCCACTTATTTGACAAAAGTACTTTACCGCTATCACCCCACTGATTAGTATGACTTCGTCTTCGGTTTCGCTATTGTCAGTCTTACCACCCTCTGATCGACTAGCCTGGTACGATAGGACCCACAGGGACGCAATTTTTAAACCAGTAAAGCTGGATTAGTTTATCTATAAACCCAACTAACATGCCAGATACAGTCGTAGTATACCAACATAAATCCTAACAGTACAATTGTTAGACTCTTTCAGAAAGTCAGAGAAGATGCATCATAATAATTGACAGTTAGAAAACAGCTTAAAATTTTTTGTATTAATTTTTACAAGATAAAAGTCATGCTTCAAAACAGAGAAACAGTTACGTACATACATACAAACGCATTTGTATAGTGTTATGATTGTATAATGTGTCTGTCATAGAATGAACATTGAAAATATTTGCTATCAAATAAAGCACTACGGTAGAACAAATGTCCCGTATTATATTACAAATATTTTATCAGGAAAATATTCTGATTTTGTCTTTTAATGAATCGTTTGAAAAGTAAAATAAGTATGAATAGATAATTTCAGTGTAGATAAGTAATTTTGATATATATATATATATATATATATATATATATATATATATATATATATATATATACAATGACAAGAGGATTCAAATAAAGTGTAGTGCATTTAAACTGGGAAACACTTTTGTATCATAAATATCTGAATTAAATGTAACGATTTATTACCAAGTAGTGACTAGTGTCATACAATCTAATCCTCAATGCAGTACTGAAATTGTAATATAGTCATTACTAGTCTAAACGGTTGGAAATCGTAGTGACATGTGTGTTTAATGATGAATTTGAAGATATATTATTTCCATTAAGGCTACAAACTGGCATGAACAAGAATAAAACTTTAGTACAAGAATTTCTACAGAAATCAAGCTTAGTTCATCATGATGTCGAGTTATTTCGACAGATCTCCATGTATCAATCCAAACAGTACTAAGCACTAAAAAAAAACATTTGTTTGTAATGAGTAACTTATTTGTGCAAATCTTTCAGTTCTACAAAATGCTAGTCGCAAATTAAATAGCCTAATAATAGCGTTTCTCATTGGTACTCTGGGTAACATGAAAGTTAGAATACAACAAGGATTATTAGTTATATAAAAGTAATAGAAAAACCTTTTTAACAAATGCCAACTAGCCGGAAAGTTAGATCGAGGACTATCATTAAAATGTGCATATTCCACATATTAGTTCAAGCCTAAACTTTGTATTGACAGACAGACAGACAGATGCAATGCAGAACTTCGTACATAAGTACATCAGTTCAGGTTGCCATACCACATCAGTACAGAGACGTAACTGTCAGTTCAAATCCAAGAGTGATAGCGATAGTAGAATTATTAGCAGTAATGGCGAAGATTAGGGAGCGAAGATATGATTCGAAAAGTATAATTCAGTGAGATTAACTTAAAACTTTGTATTGAGATATAGATTAACTGCATTTGCTCCAGTGTAATATATTTTAACGTACACTAAGTATAATATCCAACGATTAGGTTAACAATTCATGCATAAAACCAACAACGAAAAACTTAGACTGAAATACTACGATAATCAGTCAATGACTCCATGTATCATGTCTCTGTACAGTCAATTTGAGGCAATTTTCAGTTAGAACCAAACTATCCAATAAAAGTTCAAGTAGACATAAAATAACCTATCCATTTTCTAGATAATCAGGTAGGTAGGAGGAAGTTCGTAACTTTATCAACGTGATTACTCTTTTTTGACTAAAAAGCTCATCCAAACGTTTCACACATCATATGTGCAACGCTTTCATATCTTCACGCTATCCACTCCTGCATTCGCTTTCTAGATCCTCAGAGTATAAAGCTTGCATACTCACTGGTAATTGTTTATTGTGGTTCTTATAAAAGTAAGTGCAGTTTTTGCGCTTGCTGGGTGGTGGACTAATCGACTTTTTTGTTCGCTTTTCTAGTTCTTACCACCTACGGTACTCTGTATGTTTACATAGTACACAAGGTACATTCTAGCTAGATGCAAACCACCACACATGCAATGCTTTAAACTTAAATCGAGACATCAGTTTTAAAGTTCACATCTCTATGAACAATAAATACAAGTTTTTTACAGAATAACGAAAATTTTAATGAAATACGCCTTCGCTGAGACAAAAATACATAAACAAAACACATATACACTAAGAACCCACAGAACAGAATATATTTGTTTCACTATATGAATAACCACTATTAATTAATACATACTTTATGCTTTAGTTAGCTAACTAGATTGCTTTAAAGTTTTAAGTAAAGCGAATTATGTAGAAATTGTAGTATTTTCACAGATAAATAATGAACTGATCTTAATTAGACCACCATTAGAAACTTGTAATTACTGGACCGCCGTCTCGTCCTAGCATGAACTCCTCAACAGTGAGCGTCCACGAACACATAAGTGGGGATCAGACTCAAGAACTGCAGTCTTGCACGCGAACGCCTAACCTCTAGACCGCTGAGCCGACATTCAACAGTGTTATTGTTTAACTTCAAAAAATGTCTCATATGTCTCAAACTAGACATAGATTGTACTGCATGGTTTCTTATTAAAAATCCAGGTAGTCAAGTTAGCGACAACGCAGAACTTCGTACGTGCGAACATCAATCCAGGTTGTCATACCACATTAGCACAGAGAAGAAATTATTAATTCAAATCCCAAAATGGTAGAGGTAGTAGAAGTATTAGTAGTAATCGGAAAGATTAAGGCTTGAAGATGTTATTCAAGGAGTATAATTTAGTGAAATAAATTTGAGAACAGAAAGATGGTCATGAAGAATTCAGAAGATTAGAATTTGGGAGAACACAAACAGTGGATACACCTACGCCATTGCAAACGATGTTGAGCCATGTCATTCAAGGTCTCTAATCATCGGTTACTATCATCTTGCGGTAGTCTATACCTACCAACATGGGTCAGTCTACTTGTCAGTGACTCCATGGATTTGTGCCATGGTCACAAATTGGTACACGAAGCTACTGATCGCTGATCCAAGCAGCAATGTCAGGAATATGATATAGTATACTACTAATCGTAGTGACTCAGAAGTGCTTATTTCTGGACTCTAAATCTTTCGGTGGAACTTGCCTAGTTTTTGCATATTTTTACAATAAAAGTCAATGATTTCATCTTGTTTTCTATCATCTGATTGATGTGAATTCCAGTGTAACAGAGTTCCAGACAACTTGCGGTCTTCGAGATATTACTACAGCCAACTGAGCATAAGTAGTACACTTTACTCGTCGCTAAAGTAAAATACCTCACCATTAAAAATACATGAAATAAGGCAGACATAGATTTTGGATGAAGTACATCGACGAATTTGGGTACACCTGTGTGATAAATCTAAATCAGGGACATGTAGCCGTTGTGACAATTTCAGTATAGGAAACCAGTTGTTATAAATATGCAAAAGACCAATGCTAAGTACTTTCATAGCGATGTAATACAAACCAAAACAATCTCTTTGCATTTGTAACTTGCAATGAAATACTGAACGTTTTGGGCAAAAATACCATAATAGAAATGACAATAAAGAAAAAAAACTATTACTACATAGTCACTAGTGAACATACAGTTGATATTAACATAGAGAATTTGTGAAGAATATAGTATTTTCACAGTTGAAATTTATAAAACCGACTGGTAAAAAAGGCAAGAATTTAAACATACATCTAATCAATGTATAAGTCAATCTAATTATACTAGTCATATCAGTTTATGTTAACATTGATATTACAGTGCTTGTTGAATGAATGAATGCCTGATAACTGTTTAGATTATTAGTTATCTGAACATAAAAACTCTACTATAATATAAGCTATTATTCAGATAATATATATCATTGATAGAGTGTATAGGAGATATGTATTACAACAAAAACAACAAACTTGTCATCATTAACTCGATTATATTTGCACTTTTATGTCTGAGTGCGTGCCAATCAAATAACATGAACTTTAGTGTGTAAAATGCACTTATATATATATAACAATGTACCGAACTTATAGATGTAATACCCATGTTTGCGGTATATTCATTTATCACTATAAACAGTAACATGTAGACAATGTTAACCTTTCTATTGGAAATTATTTCATAGTTAAGAGAAGAAGAGACTATTCAATTTAGGTGACATGATCTAACGGTGAAATGGTAACTAGACAACCTAACGACGATTCTGGGTTCCATATAATTAAGCGAGAGAGTTTATTTTATATAACTAAAGCTTTAAAATAAAAATTATCCATAAGATTTTTTATCTGTTTAGTTTAAGACGTTGATGTTTTACGGACATTGATAAGTAGACATATAAACTAATGATGATTAAGAACAGTACACTATAATTGGCCTAAAAATTTATTCCATTTGCTTGATTACGAAAAATATAACGATTTCATGGCAGAATTTTCAGACTGTTTGTATCTAGGTGTAATTTCGTCACGTGTTCACCACCAGTAACTAATTTCGAGAGATTTCTGGACTTATAGTGAAAAGGGTCACTAGTAGAGTTCAGTAGAATCGAATGTGAGCTACATTACGCAATAACATTGACTGATTTGTGTTAGACAAGAACACGTGACAATCCAATAGGATTGAGCTTTATTGGTTTGGAGATCGTGTGTTCACACACGACCTAAATTTTTGGGTTCGATTCTTAGTTGCAGGGTCGTAGATGATCATTGATGATGAGCGCCATACTTGAAAAAAAACAGCTGCTCAATGTTGCCTGGTTTTCAATGATTTTCTAGCTTAGACTAATTCGTGATGTCAGTGGAATCCCCCAGCTTTCCTCTTTGGTAGTCTTTTTCTAAGATGTCTGATGTAATCGAAAAGAGCGAAGTAAATGCTTATATTTCATAAAGTTTAAAAGTGAAAAGTACACACACTAAAAACTTACAATCAACCTGACGCCAACTTAAGTAATCCCTTAGAGTTTTATTCGTTGGATAAAGTATAATCCGAGAATCAAACGCCGGGGGATACAGTAATGGAGTATCAGGAAAATAATTTGGCCATTCAAAAACATACGAAGATGAGAACAACGAAACAACTGTACTGGATATTTTGCTGAAAATAGGAAAATTTATAGAAAGAATCATATAAGACAAAGGAAATAAAATATTGATCAGATTGATATGAAGATCATAATAACAGTCTGAAAAACACACACACACACAAAGTAAAGATTATCGAATGAATTGACGATAAGCATCTACACATTTGAAATCATCAATCAATCATTGTTAGACCATCATTAGAAACCTGGAAACACTGAAGGACGGCCGTTTCGTCGTGGTATGGGAATCATCAGCAGTGCGCATCCACGACTCCTGCACCTCGCAGGATTTGAACCCGGGACCTTCGGCATTGTGCAAGAACGTCGCGCAAAATCCGTAGATCAATCAGAGTTAGACATTAACACCGTTAGATGCTGGTCCAGTGATCCAATGAGTAGGCGTTCGCGCACAATACCGCAGGTCCCGGGTTCGAATCCTGCGATGTGCAGGAGTCGTGGATGCGCACTGCTGATGAGTCCCATACCAGGACGAAACGGCATTTGAGTGCTTCCAGGTTTCTAATGGTGGTCTAACAATGATTGATTGATGATTTGAAATGTGTAAAAACACAAACCTCCAAAACTCTACCCGAAAAAACATAAGCATTTAGTTTTAAATAAGCCAGATAGGTGGTTCTAAGTGAAAAGATAAACAATAATGAATGTACCTACACCAATGCAAACGGCTTAAAACCATGTCGATTTTTAATTACTAGTTTATGCTGCATTTCTTAAACTTCAAATAAAGTATCCTACAGTTTCTAGTGTTGTTTTTTTTTTCTAAAAAAACTCATAGAAATTGATTTTGATGACTAGTATTGTTGTAGATTGAAATGAACTAGAGAATCATTGAAAACCAAAGCGCACTGGATCAATTAACTGTTCAGCATTAACCAGTGGACGTTTGAATAGCACACACACACACACCATTAACTTAAATTTTGGTTATGATGGTAGTGTAATCAAATTAAGTCACTAAGTCAGCATCTATTAGGTCAAATCGTGAAATATGATCAGTTAGCAGCAATAAAGCCATCACACTATCTAATGATATCAATGATATCTGTCTAAGTTCCAATGTAGTTGAACTCTATCAGTTAAGATATTTTTTTTTAAAAAATCATCAAAACTCATCAGAATAGACACCATATAATATATGAATATACCTAAGTGGAATAGTTTGTAGACATTAGTTCAGTTTGAAAGTTGTTTTCGTTAAAGAATAATATCAGTTACACAATTCAAATATAAGTTCTTATTAGTTAAGCTACTGACAAATTCAAAGTGTATGATGAATAGATGAAACCAAGTAGAATTCTTCTTGACTTCCTCACATTTCTCAAGTCACAACACCAGTGCACGAAGTGTACTTTGCCTACCGTAATAAGTTGTATCAGGATGTGAAAAAAAAGTTTTAGCTACAGGCTTCAGATGGAATGCGCATAAAAAAAACTAGTCAAAGTGACAAAGATTTCAAGTTTCAATATCATTTTGAACAAGTATTTCTCCATTTTAAATGTAAAGACGTTGCTAGTGCGCCCAGATTTCTTTACTTTGTGTCAAGTTCATTGTGTTGATGTGATGATGTATGAAAAATAAACCAGCTGACTGATATTTGTTTCATTCAGGTCATTTTAAACATATTATTCTCTCTAACATATTATACAATCAATTTATTAAGATTGTTGTTAGTTGAGAATAAAAACTATTGCACGTTACATTCTAGTAGTTTCTTTCATTATGATTTTGTTTTTTCGCTTTGTTACTTTAAAAAAAATTTCGTGATATTTGACACTTTTAATAGTTATAATAGTTGATTAATATGTACAGCATTATTCAACTTTGATCGTAAATATTAAAAAGACATAATCACTAAGTGAGAACATATATATAAACCAGCATGATCTTAAATTGTAAGTGTCAATAACAGGAAATCGATTTTTTTTTAATCATAAAACAGTAACTCATTTATAGCCAATGGATTTTTGGTTACAGTATGATAATTATTAAACTTATAGACAAGTATTGAAAGATGTATGTGCATAGGCGTATGACTCTCTCTCTCTCTCTAATCAATAGAGATATCGTCATTTTAAGATTATGCTACTTTTTCTTTGTAGTGAAGTGAATTTTCAAAAAACTAATATAAACTTATTTTTCATTTCTTTTAATCTAAATATAGTAATGATATTTTAATAGAGTGAAGATGTATGGGGGTTGTCAGTCAGTCAGTCAGATGCAACGTAGAACTTCGTACGTAAGTACATCAGTTCATGTTGCCATACCACATCAGCACAGAGATGTAATTGTCAATTCAAATCCAATAGTAGAAGGGGTAGTAAACGTATTCGAAGTAATCGGAGAGGTTAGGATTAGAAGATATTCAACAAATATGATTCAGTGAGAAACGTTTACAAAGACAAAACTAGAGGTGTTGAAGAATCCAGAAGATTAGGATTTGAGAGAACACAGAGAATAAATGCACCGGCGCCATTGCAAACGGTTTTGAGCCATGTCATTCAGGGTCTCTAACCAGCGATTATTATCATCTCGCGGACCCCAACCAGGTAGTCGACAACTACCGACATGGCTCAGTCCACTTGTCGATGACTTCATGGATTCCTGCTATGTTTTGGTTCGACCGCCCCTACGTTTCCTTCCAACCTATTCCTACACTACAAAACAAGGCTCGTCGACGCAGTCGGTGGTTAGGCATACGCAGCACATGTCTCAACCACCTCAACTGATGAAGTTTCAATACTTCATCTATTGATCTTCCATTCTTACCTAGCACCCATTTCCTAATGACAACGTTGCTCACTCGGGTGTCTCAGGATATACGAGCAATGCTTCGAAGACACCTATGATCGAAAACCAATAACCGATGAATATCTTCTACTCTGACTGGCCATGTTTCACAGCCATATAGTAGGTCGGAGCGAACTACTGCGCAGTACACTCGTCCTTTAGTCAGCGAACGGATATCACGTCTACGCCAGTATGGGGGTTGTGAATATTGTTTACTGTCATTATTATCAAGACAAACACTGAGAACTAGGATACACTAGACATCCATTTTGTTCTAGTATAGAACTCCTAAGCAGTGAGTATCTACAATCTCACAACCTGGGGTCGAACCCAAAATCTTGTGAGTTTTATGAACAAATGCCCAGCTTCCAGGCCACTGGGACAATTCACTACCGTCCACGTTTAACTTCAGTCAATTCGCAATATTGTAAGTCCATTTTCTATTATCACCGACGAGAAGCTCCATATTGATGATGGCTAATTACAGTGACTACGGAAATTATCTTTCGAAATCAGACAGTGATGACCAGATGAAAATCATCAGTATAAGTGCTTGTGGAGACTGCTGGATATTATCGCGAATCAATTGAAATTAGGCATACAAATTATTTAATGAAGGTTTAGAGGTTACAATGTTAGTAGTGGATAAGCTAGCTCTACTAAGTAGTGAGTCATATCAAGACAGAACAGGTGTTTAATAATCTCAGATTTTCGATAGTTGTCTAACTTAGGTCGTTTTGTGATTGTAATAATAAAATCACTGTTTCGGTACGTTTAATCATGATTGATTATTGTATATGGGACAAAAATCGGTGTTCGTTGAGGACAATTATTCCATTGGTCGCGGGATTATAGTAATCAATGGTTAGAGACCTTGAACATGGCTTAAAATCGTTTGCAATGGTGCAGGTGCATTTACTCATTGTGTTCTCCCAAATCCTAACCTTCAGAGTTCCTCATCACTTTGTCTTTTTCTTTTTAAGTTTATTTCACTAGGTTCTACTTCTTGAATAATATCTTCGAACCCTAATCATCTCCATAACCGCTAATACTTCTACTACCTAAACTATTATGGGATTTGAAGTAACAATTGCATCTCTGTGCTAATTTAGTATTGCAACTTGAACTGATGTACGTGCGTACGAAGTTCTACGTTGCTGTTGATTAATTATTCCCCTGGTATTAAAAATAACAGATGAATATGAAACAAATATCAGTTATCCAATAGATAAAATTTCAATCCCATGAATGTTACACCAGTTATCTGCAGAATTATGGATGAAATACTGTATTGATAGAATGTTCGATTAGTTACATGTTGAAAAACCTGCAACTTATTTAGAGCATGGATTCTTACTATCGTACTTACATACGCCTGTTACCACCAATGGAGCATAGGCCACCAAACAGTATTCCCAAAACCTACTGCCGATCCCAAGCCTGGATAAATGAGGAGGGTTGGGCATGGGTTTGGTGACCCCATCCCACAAAAAAAACTAACTCTCTAATAAAACACTAACCGGAAAACATAATTCAAACCATTCCTGCTAACTACTTCATCTATAATATGCCACCTAAACTTATTTAATAGTCTTTTCTTAATTAATTAAGCATGTTTAAACAGTATATTTTGATAGACGAATTCGAAAATATCGCGTTTATTTGGTTGAAAAGTTTTTTTAGTCGACAGTATTGAATAGTTAGAATAAACACTTCTACACTAAAAATTACGGTACGCAAAAATTTTCTTCATATCGAAAATCTTATCAGAAATCATAAAGTTAATTCAAAAAGGGAAATGTTCTTTTTCGACGATAATTTTAATTAAAGCTGTACAGTTATATTTATAGTAATGAAATAAATATAGAAATCTATAGTTACTACTGATTATTTCCAATGAATCAAGTTTAAAACTCTAAGATCATGTGATAAGAAAGTGACTAACAGTCATGGAACTAGAATTTAGTAGTCTGGGTTTACTACGGAAAATGTAGTTGATTTATACTTCTCATTAAATTACATTAAGGTTTAACTAATCATATCATAACAAATAACTCCTCCTGGAGCCCCTCTAGGGTTACTCCCGGTGCCAAGCACGGATAAAGGAGGAGGACTGGGTATGGGGTTGGTGACCTCATCCCACAAAAAAACTAACTCAATGAAAAAACGCTAACAAGAAAACATAATTCAAATCATTTTAATTCTGCCCTGACAGTTAGAAGGTCTACAGCTAGAAGAGTTATGACGTCTCATGATGAAAGTCGACTTCCTTCGGAAGTGACGAGGCCGATGCTCCTTCTGACAACCAGAGCAATCATTCTTTTAGGTATATAGAATATTCGAACATTGTGGGAAAAGCAATTCCACGATAGAGTAGGTTGAAGAATTGTGGTGGTGTTTCGTTCTCTGAGCTGAAGAACACAGGTCGGCAGCCTATGCTCTATTGAGGGTAACAGGCATAAGTAAGTAAGTAAGTAAGTAAAGAATCATAACAAATAATCGTATTGAAATTCTTAAAGAATTTATGTCAGTGAATTCATGGCATTAAAACAAAAGTAAAATCAAATCAAGTAAAAGAATAAGGAAGTACTATAAACTTAATAACAAAATTTTTCATCAACTAATTAAAATCAGTGAAGTGAGTTATGTGAACTCTAATAATACTTGAAGTTGAGTTTACATTTTAAAAAGAAGTCACTGTTGTTTATAGTAGTAGAACACTATTTAAAAAGTAGAAAAAACTATTCTACCCTTGAATGTGATAACATACGATAATGTTATCAAAAATACTTTTACTATTTAAACAAGAGAAATACAACCAGCTTTTAATGATAACTTTAAGAAGTATTTTTTATAATTAATTAATTAATTAATTAATTCCAGAATTGACCTATTTTAACACGACAAAAATCAGATTGTAATATATATATATATATATAATACAAAGTGAAAATGCTGCTAGATATAATAATAATAATAATAACAGATGTAATGATCATCATAATAGTTTATTATTATTTAAAAGAAAAAAAAAGATTTTAAAAACAATTAATAAAGACTTAATAGTAATCAACTTTTATAAATGAATTGGAAAAGAGTTTATAATTTTTTGCAAAGAGAAGTCAGTGACTGAATGGAAAACAGTTAGTAAGAGAAAGAGATGATGGGTATTTTAAAAGGAAGTTGCTGGGGATGTTAGATCCCCAAAATTCGCTTGATAATGCCGTATTTTGGTTTTCACGTTTCGCCAGCATGGGCTGATCAGATGACCTTGAGATTTCAATTCCCACCAGCAAAATCCATGGCTGTGATTGGCTGCAGTGTATTTTAGTTTGCTATTTTCTTAACTGTCTCAAGGACGTTCTTATGTTGTATAAATAAACGAGAGTTGTATGCTTGATTGTACTGTGATTGCTGGGTGTTTGTAGAATATACTTTCTACGCTTACAAAGCTTTTTATTTCGACTTTGGGTATTCAAGGTAGCCTCCCTGGACGCTGGTAAAAGTCTCGTTCGCGTTTATCGACTAAGGTAAACTCGTAATAGCCTCAAGCATACTAAGTGACGAACTTATCAGAAGTAATTGATCAAGCTGAATAGATGAAACGCTTAACACTTTAATACTGGTGAGAACTAGTTTTATTTACTTAACAAGAGATTATTATTATTATTATAAGTATTCATTATCTATTCAGTTGTTGTATCACACCATTGGTATTTATTTTCCTGTAGTAATTAGTTATTGTTTGTTAGAGAAACAGATTAAGTATAACATGAAAAGTTTACATTTTCATTGAAATAGAGTTTTGTATAGATTTTGGTTCGATAGTAATATATATATGGTATGCGAAAAAAAAAAAACATTTACTAGTCGAATTATATTTAATTTAAACAAGCATTTGGATCTTTGTAGGACTTTATTATCTCATACAGATTTTATGTACTTGACTCCGACAAATAGTTTAAGGTTTAATGGCAAGGGATAGTGTCTTGTTTCCCAAACCGAAGCAGCAGCAGGAGTAGGTTTCAAATACGGGATGTAGTGGTTGAAAGTCGAGCGCCTTAACCCCTGAAAAACCACCCTACATATGTCAAGGATACGTAATAAACTGTATTTCATAGTATTCATTTTTCACCGATATCTGTTTGAGTCGGGTGTATTGTAGTAATAAAATAAAGATGTTCTCATTTATACTCACTCACAAACGTTCATTTCTTTTCACGTGAAATCCGAATCATGTCAAAGAGTATGAATAACGAGAAGTCAGTCAGTCAGTCGACAAAAAACAACATAGAACTTCGTACGTACGTTCCTGAGTTCAGGTTGCCATACCACATCAGCACAGAGATGCAAATGTCACTTCAAATCCCATAGTTGTTGAGGTAGTAGAAGTATTAGCAGTAAACAGAGAGATTAGGGTTCCAAGATATTATTCAAGAAGTGAAATAAACTTAAAAGAAAAATATAAAGGTGATGAGTAACTCTGAAAGTTAAGATTTGCACCTGCGCCATTGCAAACGATTTTGAGCCATGACATTCAAGGTCTCTAACTATCGATTAATATCATCTCACCGGCCCCAACCAGGTAGTCGACACCTACCGACATGACTCAGTCCACTTGTCAGTGACTTCATTGATTTCTGCCATGTTTTCGTTTGGCCGCCCCTAGCTTCCTTCCAACCTAGTCCTACATCGCGAAATATAGCTCTTCGAGGCAGTCGGTAGTTAGGCATACGAGTTAGTTTTCTGCGGGATGGGGTCTCCAACCACTACTCCTATATCCGGACTTGGGACCGGCAGTAGCTTCGGAGGGTCTACAGGCGGAGTTGAATAACGAGAAGTGTTTAAATAAAATATCTGTAAGCGAAATAAATCCTACAAATTCATTTATCAATATTAAATAAGATGAGATACAATGAGAGGAAACTAACAATAAAATGCAAAACATTTAGTCAATAAACGATAAAGTTAGAACAGCATAACTATGGGTAACCAATTAGGACATACAATATAGCCAAGTTATAATGATTTCAATTTTAATGCTATTTTTAAAATTCTTGTTCATTTGATATTTTGATTCAGACATATTTTAGTAAAAGTATAAGACTATGAGGATGAGTAAAAAAACAATCTAGATGACTTTTCAGCCGGTTTTTAGCCAATCAGAAAACAAACTTTCTAAGTGAATAGGTTACGAAAAAAACAGGAATATTGAAAAGTGTAAATAGATTTTACATTTCTAGTGAATCTATTAAAGTATTCTACAGGGTACTCTGTATGTAAATTAAAAAAGGATAATAACGACGCAAAATTTTCCCCTATGGACATAGACTGTTTGTCTCCTTAAATTCTTACAATGATCTACATTATTCTTAATTGACTAACGGACGAGTGTACTGAGCAGTAGTTCGCTCCATCTTACTTTATGGCTGTGAAACATGGCCAGTGAGAGTAGAAGATATTCGTCGGTTATTGTTTTTCGATCATAGGTGTCTCCGAAACATTGCTTGTGTATCCTGGGACAACCGATAGTAAGCAATGCTGTTGTTAGGAAACGGGTGCTAGGTAAGGATTGGAGGTCAATAGATGAAGTATTGAAACTTCATCAGTTGAGGTGGTTGGGATATGTGTTACGTATGGCTAACCACCGACTGTCTCGTCAAGCTATGTTTTGCGACGTAGGAATAGGTTGTAAGAAACGTAGGGGCGGTCAAACCAAAACATGGCAGGAATCCATGAAGTCACTGATAAGTGGACTGAGTCATGTCGGTAGGTGTCGACTACCTGGTTGGGGTGCGCAAGATGATAATAATCGATGGTTAGAGACTCTGAATGACATGGCTAAAAACTGTTTGCAATGGCTCAGGTGCATTCATTCATTGTGTTCTCCCAAATCCTAAACTTCATAACTCCTCATCACTTTTTCTTTTTAAGTTTATTTCACTAGTTTCTACTGCTTGAATGATATCTTAGAACCCTAATCTCTGCCTACTGATAATACCTTTACTACCTCTACTACTATGGGATTTGAATTGACAATTACATCTCTGTCCTAATGCGCTGTGGCAACTTGAACTGATGTACGTACATACGTAGGAAGTTATACGTTGCTGTTGATTGATTGATTGATAATTGATGTTAGATATTTACAGTTAGGATCTTCAATATTAACTGACGCCAATTATAATGCGATAACATTTTATGCCATATAAATGTGTGAATTTCTCACAAAAATGCAAGTGTTGACTTATATCATATTAGTTCTTTCATAAAGTACAAGGTCAGTATCTACAGAGAAAGAATTAAGTATAATCAAGAAACACACTTTATCGTACTTTATAAACAATTGAAACTTCCAATCATATTTAATTGAGGAAACGGTAATATACGAACATTACCAACTTCTATCCAACACCTCATCAAACAATAACTAGTATATAAACGAGAGAGAAACATGCGTAAAGCATGTATACATATTTCAATTAGAGAATTTATATATGCACAAGGAAACCACCTGTTTCAGTTTGAGCATACTGACAGTATCTCAGCCCACGTGACAAACTCCATGATTTATGTGACGCATATATATTTCGCTAACTCGTTGTGCCAATGTTTATATATTTATTAAATAAAAATATTAAACCAGTTAACAAGATGACAATTATTTTACCTTGCTCGTCGATTAAACACATCAGTAGATTTTTTAAATACAAAACTAAATTCATCGGATTGACCATAGGCCAGAATAACTTCTTTCTGTTGTTGCATAACACGTTCTGCTGCACGTACTGATAACAATAAACCACGTGAATCATTTGGTTTGGTAAAATTATGCTTTGATGTAAATTTATGAAAGCTTTGTCCATCTAAACGAACAACAATCCATGTGAAAGGAAGACATTGATCCATCATTTCAAAATTTCGAACATATTCGTAAACACTTTTAGCCATTACTATATAGGGTAGAATGAAAATAAGTAGAAAGTATAACAAGATATTGGAATCAATGTTAATTTATATAGGTATGAGGATACATAAGATATGAAGAGACAAAATAGAGAATAATTACATGATATTCACAACTATCAGACTGATTGAATGAATGTTACATCGTTATGTTTAACGAATTAATCAACCACCGGTTTATGTATTGACCTCTCTGAGTTACAGTTATGACACTAACTAGCTCTCTAAACAAAATTAGGTTGGACGGAATATGAATTTTGGGTCTGTTCATTGAAAACTGTGTGCATTAACGTTTAAAAGTTTACTTAGGTATTAGTCAGCCCATTGGTCAAACTCCATTTTTTAATCGATAAACTTCGAATGATGACTCATATAAATGATCACTTCAGGTGCATAATCCAGTTTAACATTGACGTGACAAGCTTATGGCAGAAGCTATCATAAAAATCCTGTAGAGGAAACCATTCGGGAAACAAGATCATCAAAATGAATTGATTGAATACTACTTACAGAGTAATTAAAAATGCTCAATTAATGAATTGGAAGTAAGTGATGATCATGTTATTCACAATAGAAACGAAAGCTTTGTAATTAAAACATTCCACTTAAGAGAACTCACTACTAACAAAAGTACCCTTACAGAACAAAACTCAGTGACAGATACACTCTGATTGATCATGATCAACCAGGAACTAAAACAGCTCTAAAAATCTTTCACCAGCCACAAATATATGGAAAATAAATGGAATCCGATAGATGAATGAAATAAGAAGTTGGTTTGAATTGAATAGAAAGTAGTATTGTGGTGTTTACTACCTATGGTGGATGTTATAAATAGTATGCAGTGAATGTGCAGCAGAGTATCACCCTAAAGGCAAGGCTGAAACATATAATATCAGATCCGAATTTATGAAACGACTCGGATGTTTTGAGAAATAGAAGACAAGTAAGAATAAGCTTGTTTGGAAAATGGATGTTTTGTGATAAGGTGTTAAACTTTTTAACTATCCCATCTCGGTTCCATAACTTGCCCATTGCAGTACATTTTCATTCTATAATGATTATTAATATTTCTGAGTGAACCATGGACTTATTTCAAACTACCAGATTACAAATATGATATGTTTATTGCTCACTGCGCAATTATGAATGAGAAAGATGATATTATGAAGTTATAAGTCAATAATTCTAATTACTCATTTTAAAAAATGGGACAATTAATATGTATATTGCAAAATAACGCCAATTATTTATCATGTGAAAAATTATGAAACAAAAGTTTCATTTCGACGAAACTTTTCAACTAAATAATTTGCATTACGGGGTTGTGAAGATTGTTAACTTACACATTTTTGAAACCATGAATCGATCAATGTTAGACCACCATTAGAAACCTGGAAGCACTGTACGGCCATTTCGTCCTGGTATGCGACTCCTCAGCAATGATGGTCTAACATTGATCGATTCATGGTTTCAAAAATGTGTAACTTAACAATCTTCACAACCCCGTAATGCAAATTACATGTGTTCACTAGTGACTAGCTTCGTGAGGAATCTTCTCCGAGTTCTAGTGGGAAGACGTGATCAGTGAAGTTCAACCTGTCCGGGTGTAGACAGTGTCTACCGAAGACTGTGTATGAGGTTGCGCAACTCCGTGAATTGATCAAGTTAGACATTAACACCGTGAGATACCGGCTCAGCGGTCCGATGGTTGGGCGTTCGCCTACAATACCAGAGGTCCTGGGTTCGAATCCTGCGGGGTACAGGAGTCGTTGATGCGCACCGCTGATGAGTCCCATACCAGGACGAAACAGTCCTCCAGTGCTTCCAGGTTTCTAAAGGTGGTCTAACATTGATCGATTCATGGTTTCAAAGATGTGTAACTAAATAATTTGCTTTAATCTTTTCAGAAAAAAAAACACATCATACACTTTTACAATATGCAATTTAATTTGGACTAAATACAAACGAACTGGAAAAAAAATTATCGGAATGATAAGATAGAAAACACAATTATTTTTTAGTTATCAACTATTTAAATACATAATATAGGGAAAAGACCTGAAAAAAACAGAATATATATATATATATATATATATATATATATATATATATATATATATATATATATATATATATATATATATATATATGGTACACTATATTGTCGGACCAGTTTTCTGTTTTTTAATAGCCGGTGTTTTCGATTTAGTCATTAGGTTATAGCAATGTAACAATCACTGTTACAAATAAACTGCAACAATCAATAACAATTTACTAGTTAAGAGTTTGTATTGCTCAGTTCAACAATAAAGAAATTCAAGTCCTCATAAATCAAATTCGTACAATTTGTATAAGTATAAGCTGCTAAGCTAGACTCAACAACTTAGTGAGGAATGCCTTAAGCATTTGAACTGAACTCGGATCTCTCTATGTGAAAATCAACATTGCAAGATGCGAGTATATCAAATTAATGAGTTCGGGGACAATAGGAGATAAGTTCCCTATATTTAATTAAAAAATCCGATAACAATTCATGTTTAATTGTTGAAAAGTAGATACTTGTTCATTCCTCACTATTTCAAATCGATTGACAATGTTAACCTGGTAGCTTAAGTAATAATAATAATAATGTTCAGTTATATTGATTAGCCGTAAATACCAACATTATTTTTAAGAAAAATAAACTATATAAAACTGGAGATGATAGATTTCCAGATACGGTTTATATTACCAACCTTGAAGCAGTAAAGCAATTTCCTTTATTAAGTTCTGAATACACAGAACCAATATAACTATTACAGTAACTTCCTTTCAAGTGATCACTACATCGAATAGTGAATTGAAATGGATATGGGATACTAAATTAGTATCCTGTTAGTAGATATTCACCACCAATGTGTCGTAAATTATAAATTATAAAACTACAGCTAACTTCTCTGACTGACTCGCTTTGAATTATTCGGTTACTTGTTCGAATCCTACTTCATTCACTAATCTATAAGTGACAGATAGGGATTAAAATCGTTTACTATGTGATCCATTTCTTATAACCTATTCAAGTTATCTACAGTGCAGAAATGACAATTTATTAATCAGACCTAAAAAAGACAAAACAACTCTGTAGACGGACATGTAGTGTTTATTAGACACACAACTCTGTGAGTCAAAATAACTAATACCATGGTTTACATTAAGCTATAAATTATTCCTTCATTGACATACTTACTACTCAATAATTTCTGATGTATTTATCAACAATGATGAATACTTTGAAATCATCAATCAACCATTGTTAGACCATCATTAGAAGAAACCTGGGAGCACTGGACAGCCGTTTCGTCCTGGTATGGGACTTATCGTGGATGCGCACTGCTAATGAGTCCCACACCAGGACAAAACAGCCATCCAGTGCTTCCAAGTTCCTAACGGTGGTCTAAAAATAATTGATTGATGATTTCAATGTGTAAATACACTAATCTCCATAATTCTAATTGAAAAATGATGAATACAAACCAAGTTAAAATTCTTCTAGAATTATTTTGTATTAGTGTTTTCATATTAGAAACTTAATCAAAAAGGAGTTCATTATAATGAAAGAAAGCTGATTTACACAGCTTAGTTGAAATACATGAAAGTATTACAGTTACAAATGCAGTGGATCTATGAATTTGTTAATTAAATTGAAACAAACACAAAACCAGCAACTTTTTTAAATCGCTATCGAAATTGATAATAAATTCATGAACGAAATAAAGTAAACTTAATCCTAAAAGAAATCTTCGATATTATTTGAATTGAATGAATGAAATACCTGCAATTTCACTTAAAACCACTAATGTCATTTTTTCGAAGGATTAAGTGAAGTTCAACAAAGAATTTTTTTGCATTTCCATATTGATTCAAATGAGAGAATAATACAATTGTAATTGGAAAGTCAATAAGTCTTATATTACTAGTCATTTAACCGGTTGTATGCGTGATAAAGGATTTAGACTGAAATATATAGAGATTATAATGTTGTTTTATAGGCATCTGTCATTTTAAACCACTAGTTGATAGAAAACGTAGTGGTTAAAACCAATCGCCTCCCAATTATTATATCCCATCTATTTTGGTATAAACAGTGAACAACCAGGTCACAAACGAAAATGTATGATTCAAAGATGAATCAATGAACTTTTTATCAATCTGACTCAAGTCAAAACAACGATTGAGGCAGAATAGTATAAATTCATTATGTTTCGTAGTCTCTTATCAGCTGCTTATAACTATAGATGTATTACTGTGTAATATTGAGATAGTAATAATAATAAAAGATTGAAGTTTCTATTTCATATAATATGCATGTGCATTCATAAAAACCTGACATCTTATCAAAGGGTTGTTGTTCACTCTTTACAACCACATAGTTTAATTATTTATCAATAAAGTCCAGTCTTTTTTTCTGGTAAACTAAAATACAAAATTATCTGGTCTATAAAGAACTTAACTCTTGTGTTAAGCCCTAAATTCCGAAGATCGATGGTATCGTTCTCTCCTGCCTATAATATTCACCGTAAGACATACTTTTCCTACAATTTCTTCTCCTGACTTGTTAATTTTAAGAAATTATATAACTAGATGGAGTGACTCCATGGCTTCACAATTTTCCGGATTATTATTTAATTTCACAACTGTGATCGTTATTTTATTAAAAAGAAACGAACTAGCAGACAGGAAATGACAAAAAAATTCAACGATACAAGATAAAATAGGTTTGTAGATCCCTCACACGAATTGACTACAATGCTTCACAAGTGATGCACGACAACAACTATCAAATATGTCTTGAGTTTCAGTGTTGGGGTTCCGTTGGTCACCATTTATTTAACTATAGCTGATCCAATCAGCTCACATACAGTTTTATCAATTGTAGTAACAGCTTCTGAAAACTGGAACGTTTTGCCTTAATACGACCTATCATATTGACTCATATAGAGTATGGAGTATTTCACCACCTAACTCAGAAAGACTCTGAGATCAGGAAAATGTGTTTTACTGATTAAGTTGACAAGTGTTGTGACTAGGAAGTAGCGAAATCCGGTACCAGGACAGAAAGTTTGTTCAATTTGAGGCTAGTCTTAAATACATACTTAGATCAGCTAGAATATCAATATAAACCAGGGGGAGACACCAGACAGACGCTACATACTAATCAGTAGGGCAACTTTCATTTTTTTTATATGTCACAGCCACCAATTATTAGTTACATTACCGGAAGTCTACAAATTAACAATATAGAAATCATCTTGCGGATAAAATTGGAAAGTCGTACACTATTCGGTAGAGATTAAATTAGAAAACATCTAGAAAGTAACTTACATCACGTATATCCATAATCTCCAATTCAATGAACTAACGACCTAACACTACCCATTAATTAAGCCCTCAAAAAAAAAAACTAATACAGGTTCCTTAAGAGACTAACATTCGATTTATCTTTAACGGACCTCCATATTTACTAGCAATTCCAGTGAGTTTATAAATGAATAGTAGTATCTACAAAACTAACCATCACATATCGGGACAAATAATCATTTTTAATCTGAACGATGAATCAGTTCACACCTTAAAAGAACAATAATTAGTATGCATTGCTAAGACTCAATCAACGAACTAGAAACTTCGATATTAGTTTGAGGGTCAGTTTTAATGCACACACATATAGAAACACTTTATTTACAATCTAACGTCTACATTACATCTAGAACAGCTTGACTTGTAACCATAGTGATAATGTCTTGAACTAACACAACTAGATTATCTATCTGTCATTTGAAGAGATAAATCCGGGTAGTAAACAAAGCAGAACAAATAATTCGTAATCCCATCTATTTAGCAACAACAAGTCTTGACTACAAACTACAACTAAAATATGGATATGAAACACAAAAAATCTAATGAGAAATTTTTTTCTATCACCAAAAATGATTGATCTGTCTCCTTTGTGTATAATTCTCGCCCCTCAACCAAACTGATTATGATAAATTCAAATGAGTGAGCATTAATACATAAATGATAACACAAAAAAAAAATCACATCTCAATCGCTAACCGCTTCCAATGGAAAATACAACATTTTGATAAGATATTTATTAAAGCAACGATAACAAGGAACAGTTTGTGAAAATAACACAATCAAATAAAGGTCCAATAGATATGACAGATATTAATGAGAGCAATAAGACAAATAATAAAGAGATAATTTGGTCCATTAAAAACTTTCCGCCGAAAAAAAAAAATCACAAACATATTCCAGTCTATTGTTTGCCTTAGTTGTTTTTAAGGAGTGACAGACACACTATTAATAGACCAAATGAACACAATAAAAAGCGGTCAAAATAACGGGAAAAATGACAAGACATAATAACTTGAGTAGAGTAGTTCTTACAGTGCATTTATGAGCAAGTGACTGTTACAGTAATGACAAAAGAATAATGTGTTTATCACAATTACTGAAAAAGTGAAAATATTCAGAAATGATTTATGAAGATTAGGCATCTATTGGGCCTTTTTCAGGTGATTTTTCACATTTCAACACTTCTTCATAAAGTGGAACCTTTACATTCATCGCTTCAACATACGTTGGCAAACGAGAATACTGAAAGGAAAAAACAGGTCATACAGTAATAAACTGATATTTAAATAAATAAATAAATATATATATATATATATATATATATATATATATATATATATATATATATATATATATATATATATATATATATAACACGGTAATCACATACAGCTATGTATGATGAAAGGAACATCGTTCTTAGTTATATTATTTTAGAATACAAAACACCTTCAATAGGACTTATTTAACCAGTAAAAATTAATGAACGATTGACTGATAAGTGTAAGGAACTAGAAATCGTTTTTTTAATGCACCCACAAATATACTATTCCATAGAACAACGACCTTTAAGCATGTGTATTTAGGCATAAGGAGTTACGGTAATCTCTCTTTAATGTTTAACAAAACTATTTACGGAGGGTGATGGATTTTTCATGAAAGAAGTTGAGAATACAGAGAGAAACTTCGATCAAAGGTAAATAAATAAATAATTTCAATTCTGACGAGTTGAATGCGGTCGATACTTCTATAAATGCCAGTGGGAAATTTAATGCCGCCTCTATAGCCCAGGGTTCATATGATTTTCTCAATAAACTTTTATTTAAAAATTTCCAAAACATTACAACTGATCCCCATCGATGTAAACTATTGGCACATATTATTCATATGGTTTGGAACTATGATTACATAATTTTTATTTGGTAAATTTAATATGAGATGATTATTGTATTTCACAATACAGTCTGTCTAACTATTAATTAGAATACTGATACAAAAAACTTGAAATTTGATTATAGTAGCCTTGTTTTCGAATATATCTGATCAAACTCTTGGCAATTATACATTTTTGTCGCAAACGTTATACGAGATGGATAGTGGGTAGCATTGAAATCCAGGACGCTCGTTTCGTCCTGTTTGGGACTCGTCAGCTGGGTGTATCTGTATCTTATAGTTGATGTTCATATGACGAGTCACGGAGAGGGGAAAAGGCACCTGGATTTCACTGTAAGCCACTATCCACCTCTACTTATAACGCTTGTGACTTAATGGCTGTATCGAGGCAACCTGCACAGGATGTAAGTATGCCAAATACGACTGATCAATTACAGTTCTAATTATATATAGGAATACTTAAACTACCAATATAAACTTAATGTATATTTTGTTTTGCTTGTATGTGCATTGTTTGTTTAAGAGCATTCTCTACATATCCCTTACGTTCTAAACGCTATGCTATTGTTCCTATCTGGTTGGTTTCTTTTAGCGCACCTGAAATAAATTATTGTGCAAATCTTTGTGTATGGGCTTATTATTTAAGTTTGTCAATGATAAGTGGCTTAACAAGAAATACAGAATAATTTGGTATCATTTACTCTTGGAGTCATGTATAACCGAGGTATCTCAATAACATTTATCATCCGGTTTGTCACAGCTACACAGAGAATATTTTGGTCTCGAATGCACAAAGAGTAACATGGCATATTTCATCATACTAACAAAATATAAAAGTTTACGCCATCCATAGAGTATAGTATCCCGATGAAGGTTGTTAAATAAATACTCCAAAATTTATATGGCACACATAATTCAAAATTGATCATTGACTGTACGAAAGCACACTGCATTGAAGTCTATGATACTGTTTAATTTCGTAAGCCAAAATAAGAAATGGTTTTACTGTGGACCAATAAAATTAACAAGCTAAAATTCTGCATAACTTTTTTTCAATTAAACGAACTAGTTATCTCACATAACTGCGCGTTATCAAGGTTTACAAGACTTACCTCTATGTGGCGATGTTCACGAACACGACAGGCATGAATAGTTAACTTTACCATTAATAATAATATCACAATCAGCAATGCAATAAGCAGTGGTAATAAAAGTGGTCGGAACATAATATGACGGAAGAAGTAAGTAGCTTTTCCGACAAAAGCAGGTTGGTGTTCATCATCACCGATGGTATGCACACGGATAACATTTCGATTTCCGTCCTTCCCAGCTTTGAAATAATCATCATCATCATCCTGTGGAATAATTTCGCGCACACTAAAGATTGGCTTCAAATTGAATGGTGACTCCAGTGGATTTTCACGTTCACCAACTAAAAAAGAGAATATGATATACGCACTTCTCTAAAACATTATGTTGAACATATATCTTCGGATTAATGAACGGAAATATTATATCTGTGTCAATTTTTCCGAAGAATCGCAATTGTAAGTGGGAAGTTTATTTTTAAGAAACTGACACAATGAGACGCATATTTGATAAGCCAACTGAAGAAATCGAACCTTTCTATGGAAAGATACGATGTTTAATATACAAAACTTGATACAAAAATACACGAGTTGATATCAGAAATCTAAATAATGTAACAAAATAAATATTACCTGATATCAACAATGAGTAGTCTAACATCCTTTTAATGATCTTCATGGTTTTCTTATCAGTCAGTCAGTTACAACGCAGAACTTCGTACGTACGTACATCAGTTCAAGTTGTCATACAGCATTAGCACAGAGACGCAACCGTAAATTCGAATCCAATAGTGGTAGCGATTGAGATAGGAGGGATGTTAAGAAGAGTAGGATGAATTTGTTTGTGACCAATTCGGTCTCGCGTGCTGTTACGGGTATGAGGGCGGGTGTCACTTCTCGGCTGCCCACACCGTGGTTTTCTTATACGGTGGTTTATACTATGTTACACCATCTGCTTCAGTTAATACGACGCAAACACCTACTTAAAACGTTTTCTACCAACCTAGTAAGATAACACAGTTAATAATAGACAGACCTTGGCATTGTTTCCCTGACCAGTTCACATGAGGTAGTTAACTTCAACGATATTCGGATAAATAACAAGTTTCGACACCTTTTGGTGAGTCTTATAGTGACAAGCAACACCTGTTTTTCGACAGAATCGAATACACTGTTCAGATAATGAAATTTATCTACCATTTCTGACTGACACATAGTGACCGAATAAGCTCTAGGTAAGCTATAGACTTTCGAAAAGTAAAGACATAACTTATTGAGGACTGATTTCAACTTTCATCATAGGTGTGCATAAAATTTCTATCCTAACCATTTCGAGGGGTTGGATAGGTCAGAATGAAAGGTAAAAGAAAAACGTAGCACGTCAGCATGTTGGAATGGTAGTGAAAAGTTAAAATCTATACCTGATGCTGATAAACATTGTTTAAAACGTACATGGAGAAAATTTATGGAAAATGCGAACATGCGATATGACCACGCGATTACCAGAATCTGAATCGGTGTCGCCTTCTACTTTATTGGCTTTAGTATCCACATTGACTTCCGAACCTGAAGAAAAATAAAAGCAAAATGAAACGTTGGTGGAAGAAATCAACGCAGTCAATGCATAAAACCTAATCGTAGTTAGGATTAAGGAGACACTTCCACACGTTAAAAAACCAGACAAGTTAACAATGGCTCTAAATTCGCTTCAACTAGGGTTGAGTTAAACAATATGCCAACACAAGTGTGGGGATCCGTGCTTGACTACTGAACTGTTTTTCATAATTCAGCACCTCAATCTCATACGTAAGATGAACATTAATATTTGAACAAAAGGATCCTATGTTGTGGTATTTACTACTTTCATTCTGAAAGTCCAATTAGAAGAGAACAGTATATCACTTTAGAATATAAAATATATTTTTTACAGAAATCGAAGACAAAGTTTGTAGTTATTATATTTGTTTTATTTGACAAAATATTTCGGAAAAAAATCATTAAAAGAGTAACGAAGAATAACGATATGAGAACGTATTCAGCAAATAATCAAAAGCATATCTTACCATTATCCACACCTCCCAACAAACTACGAATGCTGTCGAAGAAGCCGCTAAAGAATCTGAAAGGACTAGTTCATATTGAATTATCGATACATTACTTTTGAACTGGTAGGAACCCAAGTGTTATAGATGTGCGACCCGGAGTTGCACCACAACCCACTTTGCAAGCAGCAACTAATTTCGTATCCGATTTGTAAGCATCAGAACAAGATTCTTCACATGTGAACGCTTTTGATACTGAATTTAAGTTTGAAAGTATACAACCCCTGGAACAAGCATCTTCTTCACTTCCCTACAGACAATTCATGTTTAAATATTTCTATACGTTTACAAGTAAATATTTACGGCAAAAAAATCATAAGCGGAAAGCAAAGCAATTTATAGTTGAAAATATGGCACATGAGGAAAGTGGTCAAACAACGCTGAGATTCCTGAAGACCCCTCCAGCCTCACATATGACAAGGTATATAATGGTTTTAGAGCTGATAACTCATCATGTTAGTACTGACTACCGCACTCAACAAACTTAGTTTCAAACCAGTTTGGAATTCCTGACTATACACCGTCTTCTGTTAGAGAAGTATTGTGAACAACTGTCATTCTACCAAAACAGCAATGTACTAGGTCACTTTATTGAGTAAAACTAATAAGAAATTGGCTATTGTTATTTTTATCCGAAATGACTGGTTACTAAATTCAAAACACTAGGAAAGATACGCAAGCAGACAGTCCAGTTATGGAAAAAACGTGAGTAGTGGCACGCACTAACAAAGACTGAAGGTAATTGGTGAATATTTAACCAACACAGAAACCGAGAACAACAGTTTCAAAGGTAGCCAAATCAAACCCTGTATTTTGTAACTTTTGATTAATTTTAAGATACTATTGCTTATCTTAACTTCAACTTCCTGTCAAGTTTTTGCAACATCGGGTTTCGCCATCGAAAAATAATGAGATAGAAAGCTAGAAGGAAGTGCACTGTGAAAAAGATTTAAGGCCACGAATGCGGCGGCATGGTTCCTAATAAAATGTTATCTGCATATTGGATGAGATTTAGTTGGTCAGTTACAAACTTACAGATTGATATGAATGTGGTTGCCTATATTTTCGTGTAATATAGTGTGAGATGATTTCTAAACAACGTAAAACGAGCGAATTCAACGCAAACTTTTAGCGAACGAGTGAACAATAACCCCAGCCATAAAAATAGACCATGGTCACACGTATATAAAGCGTCTTCCATTTAAAGATAAGCTAAACATAAACTTAGTTCCCGAACCTACTCTTAAGATAGGACTTAGTGATTAGGCTAGTGGAATATAATTACCTAAAATATGTACTTTGATATACAAAACTATTCGATGAACTAGGTTAATCAGTACAGCAGTTTCTGATTACCTCAAATCGTGTGACTGAAGGACATTTAGTGACATGAACAAAAAAAGGCTATTCCGAAACCTTAAACGATTAAGAGAGACATCTACTTATGTGAAAATACGGCAGAAATTTAAGGGAAGTTGACATCATATGTAGGGTACTGACATTGCTAAATACAATCTTCATTTACTGAGTTTATAAACCCATGATATAAGTACAACACACTTACGTCAAATTTAGCGATGCAAAACTCTTGACAAGTCTTAGGAGTGGCAGGAAGTTCATCAGCTTCAACTAAGGAATAAAGAAAGAAAAGCAAGGGCACGATCGACACTCTCATCTTGAATGAACGAAACTAGTCGCCAGTAGTCCTAGTTACAAAAATGAGTTGTTCAAACAAATCCAATATCCAATATCTTCTTCACGAACTAGTATAAACCAATTGATTTCTTTGCAGTCGATTTTTGTTCTTTCGGTACGGTTCCAAGTGTTTAATAGTGTTCAATGGGTGATGGTCCTACCATTCGACCGCCTAATTCCAGTCAGTTCGCACTTGTTTATTAGTTTGTATGTCCCGTGATTCGAATGAGTAGGTTTGTTTCATATATGTAACGTGGATCAGATGTTTTAATTGTTAGGCTTCTCAACTCATCGTCTTCACGTGATCCTCGAAAAGTACGATAGAAAGGTTCCAGTAATAACTTTAACCAGGATGTTCTTTTCGCAACTTATCACATTACAATATCCAATATCTTTTACACGAGCTAGTATTACATACCGATTTCTTTGCACTCGTTTATTATTCTTTTCGTACGGTTTCAGGTGTTTGTTGATGTCCATTGGGTGGTATTCAAGCCACTTGACTCTAGTAATTCTAGTCACTGAAAGGACTCTCATCGAGGACCCAACTCTTTTGTGGCATGTAGGAGAGAATGTCCATGGTTTGAAGTTTTTTCTATTTCAGCTTTCACCAGTCCTCGATTGCTCATCTTCTTTTTACTGTAAGGTACTTTTGAAGCTCGTTTGAATCCACTTTTCTACTTGTGGACTTCCAGATATTTGCATCGTCTGCTTAGATCGATGCTACTGAGATAATAATATCTAACAACAAGAGGAGTCGAGATTATCAGCACAAACCTCAACCTGAAGTTTGTGCTGATAATGTTTTTCAGAATAACAGTGAAAGGTTTACAACCAAATGATGCCGGCTTGATACCTATCAGTTTAAGGTTATTGCTGAGATATAAATCGTTGAACTTATTAAAAGCTTATGAGAACTCTGTGCACATATACCGACTATTGCCATGTTTCAGATATTCCCACCAGATGACTATCGTTAGCATTGCTTGGTTCACATGATTCAATTTTTTGTTCGACAAAATCGTAGTGTTTGTAAATGAGCATTTATGGCCTTTGATTTGAAACACTTGGACGTCCTCGCACCGATTATCCGAATGACCTTCAAGCAATGGACGAGCAACTTAACTAATCAAAGTTTTCCAAATAGGGGATTCTCGTTCCGATTTGTTCATGTTCTCTTGAATCCACAACCGAAATAGTTAGCTCTGATTCATTTTCGCGCTCATTTCTTGGCAATGGGCTCCGCCTGAATGATCGAGAATTTCCGTTGGAATCTGTCGCTCTTTGACATGAAAAGCGCCAAGGTTGTCAGCCGCTATTTCGGTAGAACGAAACGTTATTTTAATTGCCTAGGGTCTAGAATCCTCTTCACTCAGGATGGTCGAGGAATGTTAACGAGCTTTGAGCAGTTAACCAGGTTTTTGGGCGCATCGGATTCGTCTCTTCTTCCATTGATGGTTGGATTGGAATCCAGATTAGTTGAACAATTCCAGTAGCCGACCAAATGGTTGGTCTAGAAAACGATTTTTTCACATAACCTTGGCTGTTAAGCACTCTTGACAATAATCTTTGGTTCGTTTCAAACCTGTTCGTAAGACTCTGCTCACCTTCAGTAGAATAGAGGCGAATCACATTTTCATATTGGAGACGCCATGCTAGGAAAATTATGTTTCCTAGAAGAATTTTGCAGTGACGATTTTATAGTGGAGTTGTATTTCAGCCGATTCGGTTTTATGGCCTAAGAGACGCTTTAGTTATACTAAATCTAGACAGTTGTTCAGGAAACCGTAAAAACCTAGGAACAAACCAAAAAGAAGGACAGGATTTATTATCAATCAGAATGAAACTCGAAAAAGACAGTCTACAGGAAGTGGACCATGAGACAGATTTTTCGAATATAAAATTGTTTTTAGGGCAAAGAGAAAGATTCAGAAGTGCAAGTTACATTAGGCTAATACTTCCCTTTCGCCAAGCGAACTAGAGTAGACAGCATTTTAACATTGAGTTAATGAAGCTAAAGTTTATTTTACAACTCACCGTAAAAGTCTTCACGAGGTATTCGTATGTTCGCTTTACCCTTCATTGTTGTTTCCTCGTTATCTATATCAACACATTTATGGAGACTTACAATAAACAGAGGGTTCTATGCTTCCTCCCTAAGGAATTTCCTAATAAAGACACCTGCATGTATTTTTGGAAATGAGCAAGACTTGTACTTTTGCCTTCAATAAACTGAATAATTTCAGATAATAGCCACGATGTGCTATAAAAATACCAGGTAACTGTCCATTAAAAATTGTATGTGTGAAAGCCACATACCACCAGTAAACCAAGCAAAAGATAAACATTTTCATAGTGCCATGTGCAAGAACTAGTATTCAGGCAAGAAAAAAAAGAGCTAGATATGCTCACACACTGATCTATTTATCCTGAAACAGAAAACTCGGAAGTTCATCCCCTCAATTACTTGCATAGTAGTTAAACTTGTCATTTTAGAAATGGTTAATATACTGATCTGGCTGCAACCTGTTGAAGCATATCATCAAGACCTACTTACTAGCCATGATTATTGTCCGGAACTAGATACTTGTGACCATCGTTTCATAGGAAAGCTTCAATGACCCACTCCAAATTTACATTCATTTATTTTCTCCAGTAGAGCAGGCGCGCAAAGTGTGGTTACACCTATCTTGGCAACTAGAAGCTAAAATTACAGAACTGTAAGCTGAAATATGCGAGTAGAATATTTTAATAGTTTCCTCTGTTATTTAACCACATAACTTAAGGAATAATCTAACGACATCAGTATCAATACGAAAGACTTTCAGATGTAATCATTTTCCGTTCAAACTACGAAGTCTCAATACCGGACATCTTTTTCAGGAATTAATATAAACCGATTGATTTATTTGCTCTCAATTCTTGTTCTCTCAGTACGGTTCCAATCGATGGGGGTCTTACCACTAAACAGCACTAATTCCAGTCAGTTGGAACTTGATTGTGAGTTTGTAGGTCCAGTGCTTTGAATGAATACGCTTATTTCAGGGCAGTAAGATTTCCGTTTACCAACAGCTGTCAGGTTGCTAATCCGGGAATCAGTTAGTTGTAATGTGGAGAATAATAAGCTGAAAATTCTAATACTGACAAAAAGATTTCAAAAATCATTAAATAAATCGATATTATAGTTGGATAACTGGTAGTTACAATTGTGCAAGAGGACTGAAGTGTAAACAGGGGAGAGGAAACGGAGACACTAAGGGAGATAGATTAAGTTAGTGATCTGGGATGGCAGTCATAAAGACCAGCAAGTCTCAAGGCATGCATCAGTTACAGCTGGTCCATGCGGGAGATGATAATCCGTGTGTGAGTACGTGTTTATCAAGTTTCTTCTTAAAGATATCCACTGAGGGGACTATGTTCACCTCGACTGAAAGAGATTTTCAAGTTGCAACGACTCATATTGATAAAACGTGTGCGCGAAGCTGTGTTCGCTCTTCGATGCGCAATTTTCGGAGGATTGGCTCAAGCGGAGTAGCGTTGATGCATAGGTAAGGTGTTCATGTTCGGATTGTTTGGCGTGCTTTATATGTTATACGTCATACTTAGATCACCCCTGGCTCTCCTATAACTCAGGGGGAATAATGTAAAATGCTGAAGTTTATCTCCTTGTGGTTTGTTCTTGAACCCTATCACCCATTTCGTTGCTCGTCTCTGCACTCTATCCGAGAGTTTTACGTCTCTATGAAGGAGAGGGGGTGCGACGACGTTTTGAACCTCAAGATGTGGAAATGCATATATTTTAAAAAAAGAAAAGAACAGTTCTGGTGTGACTGCGCCAAGTGAGGGTGATAATTTCAATCTTCGCATTTCTATAGGGCAGAACGTTTTGTTTGCTTACGGCTCTTTATGATATATCAGGATGTACCTGATCAATGATGTTGGTGTTACTTTTGATTATAAACTACGTCGACGACTCATGTTTGTAACCTTGCACTGGTTTCACTCCCTACCAAGAAATCCTATTACAAGCAGATATGGAGAATTGTGGTGAAAAAACAACTGACTCATGACTTCTTGATCTACAGCGTTTAAAAGAAAAAGGATAAATAATATATCACAAAAGCATCAAATCACAGTGCTTCATCATTATATTCTGTTAATTAACATCAACACTAATAATTTAGTTCTTCTAAATTTCCTCTATTCATACAACAAATTGCCCATTAGTTATCTTATTAGTGACTTGTCTTCACTAACCTAAATAAGTGCAAGTGTACAGTTTGAGTTCTAATGCAGAAAAGAAACGTCTGAATATTCATACCCTTGTTTTGTCCAAAAATATTATCTTATGAGTCACCGCTTAGCACTAAAAAAGAATGTTTTCGGTTCTGTTTCTCGCCCCTTTCTCTTTTTCACCACCTCAACATACTTTGGATATTTGCCGAAGACTTCGTCACCTCTCATAGGAGTCTGCAAATTTATAATCTGACGAATAGCAGCCAGATCGTTGCAAATTTACCTCATTAATTCTTGTTATATTCAGACCTGGATTTACCATGCATTAGTTCCCAGCCATTGGTGGTTCGTCCCAAAGCAACTGTTGTAACTCGCGCCAGTTATTGCACTGAATGTTGCAGAGTCTGAAACATTGTCTATAATTTTATCTAGAAAATTTTAGCTACTTATATGAAGCCAATGTATCTTATGAAATATCTAAGTAACTGAACAACCTTTTACAGAACATATGTCAACAATTTCAACATTTTGATCTTCACTGCAAATTGGCATGTCTCTTGTAACATGGAGGTTTCTGGGGTGATTGCTCCAGATAGTATTCGCATAAATTGATGAGTTGCATTTGTCTTGGCTGAGTTCTCTATGTGATTGGAACTGGTGTCTAGGCTCTTTGTGGTTATTATACCGAGATGAGAAGACATTAAGAAACTTCCATTCAGGATGTAAGTTAAATGTGTCACGCTAGGCCGAATGCTCATTTCGCGATATTTCTATTGGTTTATTTTCAACCCATTTTCTATTACTCATTCCTCAATTAATGTGACGTCCTTTCGAAGCTCATTTGAATTCGCTTCGCTTCTAATAGACCGCCAGATGCTTGCGCTGTCTGAGCAAATGAATGCCGCCGAGATGGATTAGCTTGTTTCCATTTAGCGGAGGGTTGATGTGACTCCATTTATTTCTTGAACAGGTCTCTCAGTGGCGAAGTGAGCTCTTCTGGACACTACTTGAAGACTATGAGTCTGTAGCAAGCTTCCAGTGCCTTACCTAACCCAAGTTCTACTCTCACCTGGTGTGTGGTGTTGTTAGT